TGCGGCGGACTGTGCAGGGGCTGTTATCTGCGGCAAGTTTGCTATCCTCTCTACGATGAAGGCGGTGGTGTCAATGTGGCCCATAGCGGGGTTGGCCGCACCTTGTCTGAAAAGATATGGGAGCATCACCGCAATCGGGGTAATGGTGTTATCGATGCTGGAATCCGATTTAATAGTTGAGTCACAATCGAGAATCTCGATCCTCCAGAAATGGAGATGCACTGCAAGGGCTACCCAATGGATCTTGTTGAAGTTAAACGGGATATACAAGATATCCGCCTCTTCGAATAGCTGAACACGATCCGTATTACCTTCCATAAGTATCGTGACAACTAGTTGTTTGGGAAACTTAAATCCTCCAGGATCGGCACACTTAGCAAACTTGGGATAGAGCCTAGTGAGCTGAGAGACAAAACTAGAGTCCAGAACGTCTACGCGAAGGGGCAATCCATCGTGCTCATCAGCCCGCAGAATGCACCGACTCACTATGCATAGAGCATCCATGACCTACATATTCAGGGGAGGAGGAAAAGTTAGCGACGAAAACCCATTTTCATACTTGCTGATATTGGTTTATAAGACACCAACCTTGGCTGGTGTAGGTTTTGCTAAATCCATTAGCTTTTTGATCTCCTTGGCCGATACAAACGATGTCCCTATAGTAACGCTACATAGATGAGCAACTCCATCAGCATTCACAGTCCATCGCTCGCAAATGGAAAAAAAAAATTTTTGCGGAAGTAGGCGAACCTAGTTAGCGATTTCAAGGCGGCGTTGAGCCTCTCTCTGATCCTTGTCTCATTGTCAATTTCCTCCGCCGTCTGCTAGCCAATGATTGACTTGATCCTCTTACCACAATCATATATGTCGTCGTCAAGCCTAGACGATTTAGTCCTCGGTCTCTTACTCTTACAAGTAGCGCCAGGAACTGTGTTTTGGATTAGCTTGGGCGGCCACTACGCCCTGCTGACTTTGTATTACACCGACTTCGGTCGTAGTTACAGCTTCGCACTCCATGTTCTGCTATAATAAAATAAGCATATAGGACCAAAGCCGTTAGCGATAGGAGTGTTAAGGGTAGATGGATCATTATCGGTAATAGACGGCGGTAATGAGTCCTTAATTGCCCGGTCTCTGCCCCCGGTTCTGCTTCTGCAGTACTTTGGAGACCCGCATCCGCCCCGCTCCCGTCCTGCGCAAGAAATGGACGTCATTGGTAAGCAAAAGAAACAGCAAAAGTGACTAACATAATATGCCAACAATGCTAACTTATCTGCGTACCGATAACTTGTTTGAGTAACGCTAACTTGTATAAATAATGCTAACAGGACAGGTTAGCAACCCTTACTTGTATGAGTAATGCTGATTGGTAAGAGTAACGCTAATCTTCTCGACTAACGCTAACTTTCTTGACTAACGCTAACTTTCTCGACTAACGCTAACTTAGATGAGTGACGCTGGCATGTATGAGTGACGCTACTAGTTATCCTAACACTAACAAAGGTGATGTACGAAAGACAGGTGATGTATCAACCTTATTTAAAAGGGCCCCGACAGATTGTGTATTTTCATCTACAACTATTTCTCCCTCCAACTGATCGAGAGGAACTTCGGTTTGGGGGACTACGACACTTGAATTGACTGTAACAGAAGTTTTAGATTCCACTTCGATGTTGTCAACTGTCTTGGCCTATCAGAGGGATACAAATAAAGCCATAGTTAGCATATACATTGTGTCATCCCATTGCGGGCAATCAACAAATATGTTGTACATAATCGAAATCAAAATGTTAACAGGGCAATAATATTTGAGTTAGCATTAAAGCAACTCGGAGGCTATTTAATATCAGAAGTCCCACATAGGAGAATTTCCTCACTTACTGGTTTGGGAGTGGTGGATTGTGCGACCTTATCGGTAGCCCGGACCGACGAAGTGCCTCGCCCCTCCCTTTGCCGTTCACCGCCGACCTGTGCAAAGACGTGACATCAATAAGCTTGTTGTTAGCAAAAAAGTGTGCGTACCACTGCAACTAATCTGGCCCGCTACTAACGCTTCCTCTGTGTACTTAGCGGAAATCTCTTCTACAATCGTATCCACGTCGCCAATCTTTGAGCCGTCGGCTTCAGGAACTTTGCCTTCTCAGCTGCGGGCGCAGCAACTTCGAGACGCAGACTGGTTCTAATGACTCTAGAGGGCTAATCTTCCCTTTGCTTAATGATAATGTTATCTTTAAACCACATAGTCGTTGCGTCGATAATGATCTGGTTGTTGGCAACTAGCTCCTTGTTAACGGCTCTGACGATCCTCTCCTCCAACTCCTTTACTGCATCGGCAACAGACAAAGCGACTGCTGAAGCAATGTCGGTATCTGAGGCCGACATACCAGCCATTTTCTTCCGAAGACCACCATGCTGTCTGGTTGTTGATTTTCCTTTCTTCCCGCGTATATTTTTAGTTTTCGGCCCTCCTTTCGGCACAGTTTCTTCTACCAGCTTCGCCGGCTTCCTACTGCCAACAAACATTTCCTGTCTGAATTTAAAACCTTCCCCAATAAGACGAACCATGTTATCAATGCACTGGTCGTCCTCGTCATTCGACCAAGAAAGATTTTTCTCTTCAGGATTTATTACAACCTCCAGACGAATAATGGAGATAACATTGACTTGTACAATGCGCGCAGAATTTATCAACGCAACACCAAGCTAGCACATTTCTGATTACCGTTACTGAATCAATTGATAACTACAACAACCACGTCAGCAGTTCAAACGTTAGCGGTGTAACTAATAACTCGTTAACTCAAATAAACAGAGTACGCAGTCCTAGATTTAACAATAACTCTCTACCGCAGAAATAGCCAACTTCGTTAGGGGTGGATATAAAAATTGCGATTCAAAAAACTCACATTCGAAGACTGGTCCAGTGCACGGACATGACTGAGTTTTAGCTGCAACGGTTGGGTGGCTGTCTCGGCAAAATCGTCATCTTCCTCTACCGTATCAGCTTCTTCCAAGATGGCCGGCACCGCCTCATAGACAACGAATTGCAGGGCGACGAACAACCCTGACATCAGCTGTCGCCAATTGCGCCAAGTCTCTCTCCTTAATGGAGTTCATCATGCGGTTGAATGATACTCGTCCCCACAGATAATCGAGGAACTCTTCGAGATTCTCTGATATTTCTGCGTGCTCTTTGAGGAGTTTAATCTTCTGGTAGTGTTTTGTCGGGAGCAAGAATCCATCTAACAGTGCAAGGCATGCATATCTCAGCCTCATCTCGCGGTCTCCAGGAGACCTCCTCCTCAGAATTGAAACAACCTTGTTCATCGTGACATTCTCCTCTTGACCGAAAAGCTTGCCATAGAACGGTTCTTTCACCGGGTCGGTGTTCTTTGGCCGCGTCTTCTCTTTCTGCAGATACTTACCGCAGCGAAGTCTGGTAACCAGTTTGAACTCCCTCAGCGAGAATCGAATTGGAAAATCAGCGAATAGGATCCAGATCTCGTTATCTCGGGCAATTTCCAACTGCCGCGACAGCAGAATGAGGCCAAATCCCCCGGACCAAGCTGGTTTTTCATGGATCTCCAACAAGCTGTGAATCCCAGATAAATTTCAGCTCGGTTTCGTCAAGGGTGTTTTATTTGCTCCACTAACGCGGTCTTCTGATACACATTGACGCGGTGACCAAAGGTTCTCTGGCCGGCGGCTATCATTCACCTTGGTAAGTCTGGGATTTCGTCCTGTAGCATCAGCCGTTAGATAATCGCTACGGAAAATTAAAAACAACAATTAATATCCCAATTCTTACCATCGTCTTCTCTGTGAAGGGCGACAACAACGTTCTGCTGATGGCCAAGGAAAGTTCGACTTCGATTCGCAGTTGGCTGGGAGTTCTGTGAAGAAGTGAGCTTTAAAACTTGAGAAGGGAAACTGGAACGGTAGAGTAGAAAAAGTGTAGAAATTATAAAATCAAATCTACCTTTTGGATTATCTTGTCGGTCTGGTTTTGAAAAAGCAATTGTGGATCCATTTCTGTAGGATACACTATTTTTTTGAATATTTAATCATAAAAATAATAATATCTTTTTTAAGTAAACAATTGCGTCCAAAAGATGTTAGAAGCAGATACCTAATTTAGTATGTATCTGAATCCATTTACTGTAATTTTTCTTTAATTATTCAACAAGTGTCATAACAAACTCAATTGCATATCTTATAATTACTAAGTTGTCACAAAAGCTCAGTATTATACATAATTTAGTTACAGTAATGTTTTGTATTTTTTTAATAATTTTTTTTTTTAGAAACAAAACATTTACAGTATTTAGTTTTTGTTTTTTTAACAAACACTTTAAATTTTCAATTTGTTATATGCCAATTTAGAACTTCTAATTGTAAGAATCATTTGACTAAAGAGATATACATAAGATTAGTTAATTATGCATATTTCTTTCATAAAAATAGAGATATATGCAATTGCATATGCCATAGTTAAATTTTGCGCACAATCTCAATAATAAACATTATATGGGTTAATAAGAAGAGCAATCAATAATAATTAAATTACAATAAAAACTAAATTCTCTAAATCTTTTGGTCGGTGATAACTGATAAGTGTTGGAATATTAAAGAAACTGTGTGTCAGTCAGTGACTCAAAAGATTTGTTGTTTTACTTTTTTCCTCTACATTGGTGGAATCCTAAGACCAAAACCGTGTGAGACTAAACCGACAAACGAACACCATATCGCCACGTCAGCATATGAACCTCCCACGTTGATTCCTTCTCCGAGTCAGAGTTCGCCACGTGCATTATCCCAACGGCTAGTTTTTTTAGCCGTCTTTTGCTTACCACCAGAAGAAAGGAGGAGGGAGGTAACAAATTTAAAAATTAAAGAAAATGAAGATATTTTGCCTTAGGAAATTTCCAGCGTTTTCTCGTTCTATTAAATAAATTGACTAAAAAGTAAAAAGACATAAAATAAAAAATAATAATTGATCTACTATAAGTACAGAGAGGACTAAAAGCTCATCTTCTTGTCGCAATTCAAAACCAAACAAAGATAAAGAAAAATCACTCATTTTTCTCAGATTCGTTCATTTCCCGCATACATACTTGGAGACGTTTTTGAGTAGATATCGACAAATCTCAAATCTCACTGTTTATAGGTTTGTTTCTTGCTCTTAATTATATTCTTTTTCCTATGTTCTTTCTTCAAATCCTCTGTTTTTAGATCCTCCGATATAAAAAAGATCTGATTTTTTTGTTGTGTTACGTTTTTCTAATGCAGATTTCGTCTGGTAAGAATCTTTGGGTATTTATTAAATTTGGCGAAAATGGCATTGGGGAAGAAGAGAATCGTTGCCCAGAAATCGAATTTGAAGCATCGTCGTGACGTGGATGATGGAGGATTAGGGTTAGAGTTAGAGTTGGTTCAATATAAGAGAGGATTTGGGAGAAAGAGGATTCTAATTTCATCAGGTGATGAGAAAGAGGATTCCGATTTCACTTCATCGGTCGGAAAAGTCTCGTCCAAGATGCTCTGCGACAAAATTTCTGTTGCAGTTGCTCAAAGTCAAGAACTTGAAGATCTTCCGCTAGATATTCTGGTTAGTTTCATCCTTAACTTTATTCTGATTTCATTTGAGATTTCATTTTGATTTATGGATAGTAATCATGTTGAGCTGAAAGTTAAAAACCTTTTTTGTCCCCTGAGATTCAAAATCGTATTACAAATGAGAAAGTCTTCAAATTTTTGGTTAATTTCATCGCAAAATCTTTTTTTTTTTTGGGGTTTCTGTTAATAAGTTGAGATTTCATATTGGTTTACTGAGTATTGATTGGATTGAGCTGAAAGTTAAACACTTTTTTGTTCTCTGAGGTTCAAAATCATATGGGAAATGAGAAAGTGTTTGCAATTTTGGTTAATCTCGTTAAAAAACTTGTTTTTCCTTTTAAAATCTCTAGATACAGTTAATTAGTTGAGATTTCATGTTCATTTATATGGACTGTTAATTACTTTCAGCTGAAAGTTGGACCGTTTTTGTTCTCTAATAGTCAAAATCGTATTTGGAAATGAGAAAATGTTCGAAAATTTCCATTTCTGGAGAACTTTCTTTTGGTATCGTGCAGATAAGGTTTGACCATTTCATAGAGACTAATTGAGAGATTTTTATTTATTTACTACAGGTGAGAATTATCTGTGGGGTCGAGCATGAAGACTTGAAACAATTGTTTCTTGTTTCAAAGACAATAAGAGAAGCTGTAAGTGACATTTGGCATCATCATTAGTGGAGTTTGTTTATGCAACAATTAGTTAATGTTGATCTAATTGTTCCTTGTTTTTTTTTAATTACAGTCATTAATCGCAAAGCAGTCACATTTCGCGTATAGTACACCTAGGAAAACTTCGGTTTGCAGATTCGGTTTGGACAAACCGTTTGGTTTAACCGATGATGAGACTGAAGCTCCAGGAGCTCCATTGCAGAAAAGATACCGGCCTTCGCAGATAAACCGCAAAGAGGACGATTCTGGAGTCTCAGTGGCTCTGTTCAACTAAATTAAACAACTTGGTTTGAGGCTAATTACCATTAGCTCTGTTTCTTCAAGATCCTTGATTGAAGAAAAAAGGTTTTTTGTTTTAAGTTATGTTATTGAGTTTTGGTTTGGGTAAGTCTCTGTAAATTTGTTGTTAGATAAAAAGAAAGAGATAGGGTTTTTGGAAAGGCTAGCTTGTTTAGAAGGTCACACAAAAAAACTCGTTTGTGGGTTGTAAACTTTTTGTATGTTTATATGTAATGTAGAAACAGTTTATTTGTTTTATATGAGTAATAAGAGATGAAACATTTCACAATTTTCTAGTAGTATTGTTTTCGTTTTATCTTAATCTTCATTCCAAACCGACTAGTATTCCAATGCTATCCAATAAACAGTGGTTTGCCATATAACACTAATCCAAAACAGTAAAAATTTATTATGGTGATAAGTATAATTAAATTAGTATAGATATGCATTAGTATTTTTACACTGTTAAATAAAAAAATTGTTGGTCAATGCACTTTCAAACTTAAACATGTGTTATAATAACATTGCAAATTTGCAATGATTTTTTTTTGGTGGGAGTGTGAGAGAAAAGTCTCTCATTGTTTTATTACATCCAAAGCAATCATTACAATCGAACAAGGAGCAGTTATCACTCCGTTAGCATCATCCGACAGAACTGAACCAATGCTTTCGGGAGCAACCTCCAAATAAAGAAAATCTAAAAGAATAGAGAAAGCATAGTTTGCTAGACTATTAGCTAGCTTGTTTGCTTCTCAATAAATATGTTTCACTCGGACTATCCAGTCCCTGCATAGAAAGTCATAGCACAGGCGTGGTAGGAACGACAAAGGGTATTGATCATTAATTCTTTTAGTCAAAAAATCAACATTCAACTCTGAATCCACTTCTAACTCCAATCTTGTAACTCTCTTCTCCTAAGCTATGTATAAACCATAGTACACACCTCATAACTCGGCTAAAAGTGTAAAGCAAATCTTAATATTCAAAGCAAATCCTCCACACCACTCACCAAAATCATCTCGTAGAGCTCTTCCTGCGGTTGCTAAACCCGGATTCCCACGCGATGCTCCATCCGTATTTAACTTAAACCATCCATTTTGTGGCCGAGACCACGATATCAACTGATCCATTCTGCCATACGGACCACTAGAATTATCGATGATGGTAATACTACAAATTTGCAATGATGGTAATACTACAAAACATCTTTGACCAAAAAAAAAAAGGTAAATACTATACAAAACATTAATCCATACTTGTGGTCAAACCTATCACTAATTCCAAAAGGTTAATCTTAGAAACAAGGGCCACAAGCATTATTTGGGCTGGGTCGTACTGGGTCCTTAAATAAGAAGCCCAGCTCATATTCTCCGTTTTATTATTATTCTTGATATTTCACTCAGACCTAATGGTTTTCCGATTATACAAACCCTATCAGTTTTATACGATCCTGTGTATACTGATCATGTATTTCTATTTCTTATGATTCATACCAAATTATGTGTGTTCTGATTCTTTGTGATTTTTGTTTTGTTTTGTTTTTTTTAGATTGTTCTGTAACTATATAAAAAATAAAAATTGATCTATATATCAAGTCTTAAATCATCGGATATATAAGAAAAACAAACTAAATGTGATATGAAACATGATAAGTTGATGATGAGTGTGACACACGTGAATGGATTAATCGATGCCATTCATTGAGTTTCATCAGTTATTTATTTTCTTACTGGAATGAGTATATATATTTAGTACATTCTGTTCAAATGTAAATAGTTCAGTTTTAGCAAAATCTTGATGAATGCTCATCCTACCATATTTAATTTCTTATACTGGAGAACGTTTGCACTATAAAAAACTGTTATGAAAAACAAAACATGATCACATCTTTAAAAAAGTAATGTCATTTCGTAACTTTCACATTCATTGAGAGATTTGTTTTGCTCCATAGTGAATACTCCAGTAGCATAGATAGCTAAGAACAACTGGAGCCAAGATAATAACTAAATTAGTATTACGATATCGATTGTGTAATTAGGTGAGAATGAAATAATCTAATATGGTTTAGGATGTGTAAATAATATGACAAAAAGTAATAAGTGGAAAGAGATCATTGCCTTGTTCTAAAGTATGATATATGCCGTTTATATAGGAGTAGTTTCTAGTTTATACAGAAATTATACGATATATATTTTTATAAACATATTTTTTTGTTAATATATGCATAAATAATCTCACTGTTATTGTTATCTTATTATTAATTGAGTTACGATAAGATAGATGATAAAAATAGTTTTGATTAAAAAATAATTATGTGCAAAACTTTAAACATCTTGTAGTATCATACACAAGGAGTAATATTTTACACTCTAAGATCTCACATACTGTATATCAGTTATATATGTTCATCTCTTTTTTTCTATTGCTTTTTACCATCAAACTTGATAGGTATCATAATAATTATTTTCTTAGTTAGTAATTTGTTCAAAGTCTTATGAATATCACATCTAAATAAGATCGATGAAACCTTCAAATTAACATGTTTTCTCTACGCATTTGAATGAAATCACAAAAGTACTTACGCTCTTTAAATTCTCGAGCTGTGTGTTTGGCTCGTGGTGGTACCATGCATATTACGTTACTCTTTTTAGTTTTGTAAGTGTAATTTAGACACTTCTGTTCAAATCTAATGCTCTTTACCATGCATATATTTTGTTGAAAAAGAAAGTATGATGATACCATTCATTCATTACTTTCATCACTACTGGAAACTCATTGACATTGACACAATCTAATGCAGATTGCAATGAACAATATTTTTGTGCATAATAAAAAGTGGATAAGAATGCATAACTTGACTATTCAATAATGGTTAGTTGAAGTTAGTGTTAGAGCTTAAGACAAGGCTTCCCCTTTAGTTATTAACAACCCTATCAGCCTATGCCTATCTTGGATCAAAGATGACTTCCATGTGGACCTTTATGTCGTGCCACTAAATTACAACATGTCTCCGTCAAGCGATCTCAAGTTATTATCATTTTCTTTCACGAGTTTGTTAATAATTACTTTTAGTCCTTCTTTTTTTAATATGCACAATCTTGAATTGGTCTAGTTGTTCGAAGATATTCGTCGTATCAATGATTCGTTTAAGGTATAATCTCAAAAAAGTCTGGGTAGCATATTTAGAATAATAACATACATATTTTGAAAAAGATAGTGATAAGTTTTTTTGTAAGAAAATTAATTAATTTTTAACCATCGAATTATATCTATGGCAAGAACATGGTATCATGGTTTTGATGGGATCTCTATATCCTTGACAATATCGTTGTAAGGACTATTTTGGTGGAATTTAAGTGTTAAACTTATGTTTGTGTTTAACTGTTTATATTACAAAATATGACATTTCAATATTTAAAAATTCTGCATGTTATATACACAAACAGAAGTTTAGGGCCGAACATTTCAATATTTTCTTCATTATAAGTCCGAACTATTTAGGTCGGATTCAATATAACAATTCATTATTTTCTGCATGTTATATATATAAGTAATTTACTAATATTTTGCATTCTTTGTGTTTATTTGTTTCGGTCTAATAAAACGATGACCAATAAACAACTATCACTTGATGATATATGTAACCATTTTTGGTTTTTATATACACTACCAAATGTTATGGAGTACCAATAATAATATGATATTTTGATTATTATATTTTTCGTGAAAACTAAGGAATATGTTGTAATGCGTTTGCACAAATGAATATCTCCCTTCTCAACTACTCAAGCGTCGATGTCATGGGATCACTTCTTTTTGTCTTTCCACACCTAACTTTTGTTTTTTTATAACATAAATTATATGTTATTTACGACTCTATAATTGCATAATCACAATGCCTTGTTTTCCTAATCTATTATAAAGTACAATATATTACAAATACAACATGCATGTGGGTTTTTCTATTTTAAATGTAAGCATGTAATTTTGAACACGACAAAACATCTAAAAAATCATTAACCCATCCCTGCACAGGCAATTTTGTGTGTCTATAATCTTTTTTTCATGTTCCTATTTTAAGATACATACTCCCTCCATTTTTTTAATATATAATATTTTTTAATTTTTTTCAAAATATATAATGAATTTACAAAAAAATCAAAATTTAACGATAAATACCTATAAAATAAATTATAAATTAAAATTACAATAGACATTTTATAACCTTTCTTAATTTGTATGCAAAGTACTAAACCATCATATAAAAATAGAGAAAGTATATGACCAACAAATATTAATTAATTTATCAAATCAACGATCGATTAATATTATATTTTTTCAAGATCTTTAACATTTATCTACATATATTTTTTTGAACAACTTATATTTATCTAGAAGTTAAATTTAGAATTCTTATTAATTTAGTTTTATTCTAAAAACGGTTATCAAAGAAGAAAGAAAAAAAAAATTCCCTCCGTTTTTTATTAGATGATGTTTTAAAGTTTATTTTTTGTTCCAAAATATATGATGTTTTCAGGTTTCTATGCAAAAAGTAATTGTGTTTTTGTTGTTTTAACTGTTTTAGTTTTGAATCTTATTTTTCTATTGGTTGAACTATTTTGGAATTGACAAAATAATATATTTTGTTTTGAAAAAATAAAGAATTAAATTATTTATTAATCTGTGTATACATCTCTAAAACATCATATAATAAAAAATAAAGGGAGTATATAACATCACTTACATAATACATGTAAAATTTATCTTTATATACTACGGTAGAGATCCATTTAATTTCGCATTTGTTGATTAATATATGCAGTGGCTAGCTAAAACTACCTATATTTAATAATATCAAAAAAAATTTTTATGAAAATGTGCAAAATTTCAAGGCTTTATATATAGGTGTGTTCAATCTACGAGTCGCATTAAATTTCCGTCGAATGGCTAAACAGCGAACGAAAACTCATAAAGTCAACAAAATTTCTTGTGATGGATATCAATAGTAGCATTTATGATGATATATCAGTTGTGAATTAGTTCTTCGATAAATGGATATTTGGGATTAATCCAAAAAGGGGGGAAAACGCATTGGTATTACAAACAAAAATGTAAGCTAGATGTTATATTATAAATTCAATTTAACAATAAAACCAAGTACTCCAATCCATGTGAATACATAATAATGAAAGTTTTATTTACATGAAAATGGTTAATACATCGAAGACGATCTAAATTTGGAATCATGTGAGAGGTAGCCAATCCATTTGCTTTACATTCAATTTTGCAAGTTTTTGGCTCTTCCTGTTTTGTCACGGACCATCTCTTGGTTCCTTTAATATACATACGTTGAGTCAACTGTTATACAGAGATTATAAGATAAATTTTCTAAAAATTATAGTTTATATTCATATTGTTTACGTATATCCCATACTTTAATAACAAAGTAGATGAATGAAAATGCTTCTACATCTTATTCAAAATTTATTTGGCAATGCAGTACCATGAAAATAACCTCTACCTTTCGTCGGATAAATTAATAGTATATGATCAAGAATTTATTCCTGTTTTAAAAGATTATAGGTAAAAGGTCTAAAACTTCCTCATTAATTTATACTTAATTTGAATTATTGTTCTAGTTAGTTTGTAAAAATAAAAACCGAGTATTTAGGGAGTCTTACTTTAACAATCTTATGAAGCTTTTCGATAATCAAACGTTGCCACACAAAAACATCTTGACTCAGCCATTACTAATTGATTTTCACGAGCAAAAGTATACTTAGGATTTAGGAAAATAACAATTATTGAAACAAGCAGAAAATTATCACTTGAACGTTTTCTCTAGCAAAATATTTTAACTTATTATTTTGAAACTAGTTAATACTAGCATACAAATTGTAAACTTCTACAATGGTAATATTGTCCACCAGCTTCACCGTCCATAACCATTTCCACTTCCGGGTTTCTCGTGCTCGTGCAAATATTGAATGGTCCTTTAGAGTTAAGCTTCAAACTAATATTATCAAAATAAAAGAAAAACTATATAATAGGTGCATTTTATATGAGTGATTCTCAAGTTCTCTTCAGTACTACCAATTGAAAAACATTGTTTTTCCATTTTAAACCAAAAATTATGGGGAAAGTTTATCAACATTGTACTCCAATCATCTAATTTATTAGAACCACAAAAAGTATTGTTTCCTCAGCTGGACATAATTTTATCCAAATTAAATATTTTTACCGATATTTGGTTTCTAGTTTCCATTACCAACTTTAGCATTTTTCACTTATCCTATAGAGATCATTATTGCTTATCGTTTAATTAAGGCTTGACAGGTTAATCTTTGGATGCAAATGGTTATAAATATATAAAATAAGTTAAATGAGAATAATAATAATGAGTAGAATAAAAATGAGTTGAATAATGTTTTTGAGTAGAGCATTATGAAAATCTTTTGAAATAAAAAAGATTTTTTTGTTGAGAGGAATAACAAAAAATTAAAAAAAGAAAAAGAAGAATCGAATTCTCTATAGCTCTTCTCGTGCTCTTCACCAAAACCATTTTAAGAACCAACTTACCTTTCCCATATACGCTTTTTCGTCTAACCCCAAAAAAGTAGCGAGAAGACCATTTTACCCTTACCTTCATCTTCCTCGACATGTCACTGCCTCCAACCCCACCGAGAAGGCCAGCCCGTCAAATTGCTAAACTCTCATTCTCTTTCTCTCTCTCTCTCCTCAAACCCAATAACCATTGCTGATAACCCAACGAGAAAACCTGTGAAAGTCTTCGTCTTTCCATCGTTTTCCTTGTGGAAGGAACCAAATTCGTCAGTTTCTGGAGAGAGAGAGTAGAAAAAGTGATATCATTTCGTGATGGGTTTTTGCTTTAAAACAACTTGAGAAGAAGGAGAAGGAGAAGGAGAACAAAAAAAAGATTTAATCGAGAAAAAAATGGGTGAAGAAACCGGTGAGGAATCGAAGGCTAGCATCGGGAGAGCAATCGAAGCGATATCTTCATTGATCTCACTCTCTCACTCAATCAAATCCTTCAACGTCAAATGGCAACTGATACGAACCAAGCTCGAGGAGCTTTACTCTGGACTCGCCGCTCTCGAGAATCTTGATTCCGGGTTGGACCCATCTCTCTCGAGCTTAATCTCCGCCATCCTCGTTTCTCTCAGGGACTGTTACGATCTCGCGACGCGTTGCGTGAACGTCTCATACAGTGGGAAGCTCCTGATGCAGAGCGATTTAGACGTTATGGCCGGAAAATTCGACCGACACACGAGGAACCTCTCCCGGATTTACTCCGCCGGGATTCTCAGCCACGGATTCGCGATCGTCGTGTCGAAGCCCAGCGCTAACGCTTGCAAAGAAGACATGAGGTTTTACATTAGGGATTTACTCACGAGGATGAAGATTGGGGATCTGGAGATGAAGAAGCAAGCTTTGGTGAAGCTTAACGAAGCCATGGAAGAGGACGATAGATACGCAAAGGCCGTGATCGAAATCAGCGATATGCTTAACATCCTCGTTGGGTTTCTTGATTCCGAGATGGGGATTCAAGAGGAATCTGCGAAAGCTGTGCTTTTTATCTCTGGGTATGGTTCTTACAGGTCTGTGTTGATCGGATCGGGTGTGATTGGTCCTCTGGTTAGGGTTCTTGAGAACGGGAACGATGTTGGTAGAGAAGCTTCCGCAAGGTGTTTGAAGAAACTAACAGAGAATTCAGAGAATGCGTGGTCTGTCTCTGCTCATGGAGGCGTCTCAGCATTGCTAAAGATTTGTTCTTGCAGCGGACTCGGCGGCGAATTGGTCGCTAGCTCCTGTGGTGTGCTGAGAAACCTCGTCGGTGTTGAAGAAATCAAGAGGTACATGATTGAAGAAGATGACACAGTGACCACTTTCATTAAGCTAATTGGATCAAAGGAAGAGATTGTTCAGGTAAACTCCATTGATCTACTGTTAAGTATGTGTTCTAAAGACGAACAAACACGAGAAATCTTGGTTAGACAAGGAGGGATCCAGGAGCTAGTGAGTGTACTATCAGATTCATCTTCCAAATCTAAGGAGATAGCATTAAGAGCAATCGATAACTTGTGTTTCGTGTCTCCCGGTTGTTTGAATGCATTGATGAGCTGCAAATTCTTGGATCATTTGCTGTATCTTCTAAGAAACGGAGAGATCTCTGTTCAAGAATCAGCCTTGAAGGTTACTTCTAGGCTATGTAGCTTGCAAGAAGAGGTTAAGAGGATAATGGGAGACGCAGGTTTTATGCCGGAGCTAGTCAAGTTTCTCGACGCTAAATCGTTAGAGGTAAGAGAAATGGCGAGCGTGGCGCTCTACTGTTTGATCTCGGTTCCAAGGAACAGGAAGAAGTTTGCGCAAGACGACTATAACATTAGCTACATTCTCAAGTTGCTTGACCATGAAGATGGGAGCAATGTGAGTGGAGGAGATTCGGGTAACACCAAGTTCCTGATATCGATTTTGATGTCGTTAACGAGCTGCAATAGCGCGAGGAGAAAGATTGCGAGTTCAGGGTATTTGAAAAGCATAGAGAAGCTAGCAGAAACTGAAGGCTCAGATGCTAAGAAACTTGTGAAGAAGCTATCTAAGAACAGATTCCGCAGCATGCTAAGTGGTATTTGGCATTCCTAAACCTTTTTACTTTTTTTTTTTTGCTAATAGTTTTTTTGTGAATTTTTACTTGAGTGTATATTTTTTTTTTTTACAAAGGTGTTTTTGTTAGTTCTTTTCCCACTAATCCCAATCTCAATCCCATGTGACATCCAATTTCCACTACATGAATATTAATATAGAGCTTTAGAACATTTCTTTTTTTATTATTATCTCTTTTTTTAGTTTGGTGAAATGCAAACAAAAAGAGGGCTCTTTTTATTTGTGTAGTGGGTATCTCAAAAAAAAAAAGTTGGCTTTTTAACTCTTTAATACAGATTCTTCTTAGAAGCTGCAATGTTTGCACTTTTAGGATAACATTTCTCAATCAAATTGCATTAAACTCAATTTAACATTTCCTTATCATTTACAGCTTTATGTGCAAAATAAACATTATATAAAAGTCAAATCTAAAATGGCAAAACACCTAAACAAGACATAAGACATACATTAAGATCCAAACTAAGGGATTTGATTAGAAAATTGTAACTAAATAAATGCCTAAACAAGACATAAAACATACATTAAGAACCAAGCTATGTGATTTGATTAGAAAACTGAAACTTCAAAAATTAAATGCCTAAATAAGAGATAGGACATACATTAAGATCCAAGCTAAGTGATTTGGATTAGAGACATGAAACAAAAATTTGAGGAATAGTTTTTGTATAAATGCATGTAGTTTTGGAAGTATGTAAGGAAAAGGGGGAAGCACATGGAATCAAGTGATAAAGAAGCATGTGAGGTTGTGTAGAGATAGAGTGATATCTCCCTCCCATCTACCACACTTCAATTATGTGGAGAGAGATCAGTGAGAGTGATGGTTCATATGAGAATTAAAAATTATGTCTTCTTGTTACTCAAACTTATAGTGTTGTGAGTAAGATTTTGGGGGCCATGTGCGCTTGGTAGCACACGAGTATGCTTATTACCAACACTTGTTCCGGTAATAACATCTTCACTCTCTTCACTTTTCATTAAGCATTCGGTTATTAGGTTAAGTTTAATTTTGACAAATATAACTAATTTTCTTTTGGATAATTTGGTTTTTAGAAACATGTTACATATATAAATAACAAGTTGTTCTATGTTTTTAAAAATAAAATGACTTACTTTTACATAGAATCACATCCATTTTGAACTTATTCTGAAAATTCAACATGTAAAAAAAATCTAGATTTTATTTTTAACATGATAGTGAGATTTAATCGTATTTGTATGAACTGAAAATGTATAAGTAATTTTTGTACGCTAAATGTTATAAAATTGTAGAAGTCCCTTAGTCTAGTGGTTGACTAAAGATTTATTAACACTTTTATATCAGGAGGTCTAAGTTTTGATTTCTAAAAGATGTAATTTATGTAGGTTAATAGAAACAATTAGATAAAAAAAGAATGGACACTTGTAGTTATTTGTGGTAGGTCTACATATCTATAATAGATCTTTGTGGAATACAGTAGTTAATTTATCTCTAAATATTATCTAGTTTGCATTCAGACGATAAAAAAATGTTATAGAACTTATATGTTAACTACCTAGTCAAACAAACATTATTAATTTTAAAACCATACAAATTTAGAACCAAGTTTGATTGTATAAAACTTGTATGAAACCTCACTAACCCTCTTAATTCGGTAAAAGAAAACTTGAATTATAATAAAAAAAACACCTCCATCTTCACTCTCCGAAGTTCTCTCACATATACGACAATGGACAATACTCGTTCTGGTGTACGAATTTGACAAAGATTCTCTGATTCTGCGCAGCCAATCATTTGTTTCATATTCATAACTTATCCACTCTCATTGATTAACGTCAAATCCGTTATAAGAAGATGACAAATACGTTGAATAGTTCCTTCTTGGTGTGATTTGGTCAAAACCTTCTCTCCTGTTTGGAGTCTTTAAGTAGATCAATGGCTGAAATACCATTATTTTCCAAATTTCAATCTCATATATCACCGATATAAAAATTAATTTTTTTAGATTTATTTTAACTAAAAATTAGATGAAATACAATTTTGACTTTATAAAATTCTAATAATTACAAATATTTCATGGGTTTTACCCATCCGACCCATCCGCCAACCATGATTCGAAACAACAACCCTAGTAAATATTTTTACTTTTGTAACTGTGAAAAAAAAAAGAAGAATCTATTGAAGCAGATCCAACTTCCGACTTCTCTCTTTTTCGTTTATTTCCAGCTTCTATTTTTGATCTATTTCCCGTTCAATTCTTTTCCTTTTCAATCCACTCATCTCTCTTCTTTGTCTTCTCTTCTTTTCTATGGATTTGATTTTCGATTCAGATATGGTTAAACTGAAATTTGGTAAAAAAGTATATGAAACAAGAGGAGGACGAGGTCGAGGAGAATCAGAAACCGCCGCAGCAATGACGGGAGCGACAGCTCCACCTGAAACTGATGCAGGAACCGCTCCTCCTGAAATCGGCACAGCAACGACGGCTCCTCCTGAAACCGGCGCAGCAACGACGGCTCCTCCTGAAACCGACGCAGGAACCGCTCCTCCTGAAACCGACGCAGAAACGACGACTCCTCCTGAAACCGATGCAGGAACCGCTCCTCCTGAAACCGACGCAACGACGGCTCCTCTTGAAACAGACGCAGGAACATCTCCTCCTGAAACCGACGCGGCAAGGACGGTTCCTCCTGAAACGAGCACCGACGCAGGAACTGCTCCTCCTGAACCGACGCACCAATAACGAGAATGACGGCTCCAAAACCAATAGAAGGAACAGAAGAAGTGGAGAAAGTTCCCGAAGTGGTGCCTCCTGCAATCAATTCCGAGAATTCCCCGGCTCCAGCAGCCACATAAGCACTAATGGAAGAAGGAACGGAAGAAGTGGAGAAAGTTCCAGAGGAAACCGAAGTGGTGTCTCCTTCAATCAATCAGATCAATCCCGAAATAAGTGAAGAGAGACCCTCAGTTCCAGAGAATGTGTCTGGCCAAGAAGAAGAGCAAGAGAATGTGGAGCAGAATGTGTCTGGCCACAAAGAAGAGCAAGAGAATGTGGAGCAGAATGTGTCTGACCAAGAAGAAGAGGAAGAGAATGTGTTTGGCGAAGAACAAGAGGAAGAGAATGATTCTCGCCACGAACAAGAGGAAGAGAATGTGGGTGGCCATGAACAAGAAGAAGAGAATGTGTCTGCCCAGGTAGTTTACATATACGCATCTGCTTACTTACTTTTAGACTGAAGATTGAGAATGAATTTGTGTTGTGTGTATTTTATTGGACCAATGGTAAAAGTCAGTAGTATTTTGGTTAAATTCAACTATGTTTTCTAGGTTCAACTAGATTAGTATCTCCAATGAATGTTAGGTTCAACTTAGTATTGCTAGGTTCAACTACGTATTGCTAGGTTCGACTATGTAGGCTTTGTTCAACTAGATGTTTGAAGTTCAACTACACTTGATTGGTTAAGTTCAACTATGTTTTCTAGGTTCAACTACATTAATATCTCCAATGTATGTTAGGTTCAACTGCGCTTGCAAGGTTCAACTACGTATTGCTAGGTTCAACTATGTAGGCTTTGTTCAACTAGATGTTTGAAGTTCAACTACGCTTGATTGGTTAAGTTCAGCTATGTTTTCTAGGTTCTACTACATTAGTATCTCTAATGTATGTTGGGTTCAACTGCGCTTGCTTTGTTCAACTAGGTATTGCTAGGTTCAACTACATATTTCTAGGTTCAGTTATGTAGGCTTTGTTCAACTAGATGTTTGAAGTTCAACTACGCTTGATTGGTTAAGTTCAACTATGTTTTCTAGGTTCTACTACATTAGTATCTCCAATGTATGTTAGGTTCAACTGCGTTTGCTTGGTTTAACTATGTTCAACTTGCTTGGTTCAACTATGTATATTAGGTTCAACTAGGCTCGAGTTAGTATTTATTTATTTTAACGGTTTATTAAATCTGAGATTGAATTCACAGGATAACGAGGATTATAGTACACCACTGCAACCAGAGAAGTTTTACTTCGGTCCAGAGCAATATAGCAAGGTTTGTAAGATAGGATCGAGGTGTAGTGTGCAGGATACAGTGAACATGATAAAGCAGTTTCCAACTGAATTGAAGTGGTTCACAGCTCACCCTCAGTTTAAGCATATTTTTCACATGGAGGAGGAGCCAAACCGAAAGCCTATGGGCATGTGGATGCTGCTACTTCATCAAGCTTGTTCGGATTCGATGAATGAGCTGTGGTTTGTGGTTAATGGAGTTCCTATTAGATATTCCATAAGAGAGCATGCACTGTTATGTGGGTTGGACTGCCTTGACTACCCGAGCAATTATGAAGAATTAAAAGATAAGAAAAATGAGGATTTTAAGTTTGTGGAGAAGATGTTTGGAAGAAAAGTGAACATAACAATCACAGATGTGGGAGAGAAACTCGAGTCATTTCGGAGCAGTGTAGACAAGAAGAAGATGGATGTCTTGTATTTCTTATCCACTATTTTGAAAGCAAAGGCTAAGGTTGCAGGAAACATAGAGCCGTTCTGTCTTAAGACTGTTGATGATTTGGGATTGTGTAAAACATTCCCATGGGGGCGTTACACATTTGATGATTGTATGGTTGAGTGAGGGAGAAGATGAAGAAGTTCAAGAACGGCAACGTGAGAGACAAATATTCATAGATCTTTTCTGGTTTCATTCTTCCTTTGGAGGTAACCAACTCTTACCAATGGTTTTAAATTATTAGTTTGTAGAAAATATGGTTGTGATATTGTAACTTTATGTGTAGGCTTTTGCATTTGAGTGTATTCCTGCGTTGGGACGCAAATTTCGAGTAGATGTTGTTCCACCTGAGAAGGACTGTCCACGATTGTGTAAGCACAAGTTTGCCGAGGGTTCCATGAAAGGTTTTCCTTTGGAAGATATTAACGAGACCATTGGAAGAACTAGTGTGAGAATTATCGACGGTTGTATTTGATATATGTTTGGTTTTTAAATTTACAAGTGTG